GCGACAGAATTTTCACGAAAATAATGTAGGGGTCTATTTAGCCAGTCTAGAGATTAGGCTCAGGCTACGTAGGCCAATATACTCCATATGCCGCCTAGGGAGTATATTGCTGTATATATATATATATGTGTAGATATAATATCATACAAGATGATAAAACCCATACATAGCCGAGGGCATGGAAAATTCTAGTTCGCAGCGAATTTTGAAATTAGCGAAAAACTATTACAATGGATTGTGTGTTAGTAGCGTACTAAATCCTAGATAGCCATTTTGATCACCAAATTGTCAGATTTTTCGTGCTTTGGTGCTTTCTAGGTCGCAGCGAATTTCGAAATTAGCTAAAAAAGAAAAACGTTTGGTTGGCTATCGTACTAGTATACTAAATCCCAGACGATAATAAACGCCGGGTGTTTTTCTTGCTTTCGTCCTTTGGCAATCGCACGTGTACACATCAAAGCACGAAAGCAATCGCACAATGTTACAATTTGGTAAACGCGTTACCTGTGTAAGGCTACTCACATCCATCAGGCCCCTCCCCCCCACCAGACGCAGGCGTGCCTCCTCTCAGTGCCTTGGTGCTTTGGTACGAATTCGTGCGAAATTGTAACATTGCACCATTCATAAGGTGTCTTGCTGCTTTGCTGCTTTAGTACGAATTCGTGGCAAGTGCTACAAAACAAAACGGACCAAAGCACCAAAGCAGCAAGACATCAAAGCTATGGTATAATGTTACAATTTCGTACGAATTCGGATCAAAGCGATGGTATAATGTTACAATTTCGTACGAATTCGGATCAAAGCACCAAAGCGCCAAGACATCAGAGCGATAGTACAATGTTACAATTTCGAACGAATTCGAACCAAAGCACCAAAGTACTAAGACATCAAAGTGATGATATAATGTTACAATTTCGAACGAATTCCCACTAAAGCACCAAAGCACCAAGACATCAAAGCTATGGTATAGTGTTACAATTTCGTACGAATTCGAACCAAAGTACCAAAGTTCCAGTAGCATCGATTACTTTCAAACCGAAAAAACAGGTTTTTCAATTCCGTTCCCTTATATTTTGTCGAATAGCCCCGTTAGCCGATTTTAGCAAACGTAAAAAAAGGGAACATTTCATTTCTTCGTCTTGGCACAGAAAATTCGACAAAATATAAGGGGATGGAATTGAAAAACCTGTTTTTTCGGTTTGGAAGTAATCGATGCTGCTGATTTTTTATAAAAGCATACAAAGCAGAAAGAAAATGGGGGCAATTTTCGCTTGTTCTTCGTCGGCTTTGACCGCCAGTTTCTCTTCTTCTTGTCTTCGTTGTTGTGTATTATATATTTGTCTATTAGTTTTTATCGAACAGTTTGAAACAAATAGTATTTTTGGTCACTATGTGTCTTTCATGATGACGTGATAGTGAGTACGGTAGTTACCGTCATATTTTCTCTATTGTTCTACCATTATTAGTCTTTTTCCAAGAAAAACACAAAGGTAGTATTTTTCTTCCTCTTCTGCTGCGTTTTTTCTGTTGTCATGGCTTTTCTCAATGCCGTTCGACAACATTTGCATTTTTTGTAATTCAAAGTGATTTTTGCTTTTTATGTGTGTCTGTGTAACTCCATGTATAAAACGTATAAGAATCCCAAAAGTTGCGCAGTATTGCCTATCAGATAAATCGTAAAAGTATTTTTTAATCTCGACAGCATTATGTTTAAGATCTAGACAGCATTTCTTGTTTGTTGAAAATGAAACAGAAAAAAATATTTTATTAAAATATTACAACAGAAAAAATATCTTTATATATAACAATAATAAAATATATAATATATTAAAATATATATTACGATTTTATTTTCAGCAATAGCAAACATCGAAGAGTGATTTAAATTAAAGTAAAAGGTAATGCTAGACAGTGTGCATTACTTTTTATCTGTTAAGGATTTTAGTGATTCGTTTGTGTCTTCTTGGTCCTCAGAACCTCAGCTCTCCAAGCATCTCACGTGTAGTGTCTGGTTCATATATACAAGAAACTTCCTTAAAAGTGATTGCACTGTGGTTGCGGAAAAAGAGTAGCTTTTTTTATCCATAATGGAGGTCAACGGTTGAATATGGTGAATAGTTGCTACATTAAAACCGCTTTTGTAATTGTTATGAATGAAGGCGAAATAATTCATAGTCCAACATGACGCCTTTGAACCATTACTGTTTCCTGATAATATTAGGAATAAATTTAGCAACGAATATCTGAATGCGTCTCGAAAGTAATTTAGGTTGACACTAAGCGCTGGGATGAGTTTCAACTGTAGATCAATAGCCTAAAGGTTCTGCATGTTTTTATTCATATGTACCTTTTGATCGTGCTGCTGACCAGTGAATCCATGTTTTATCGGTCTATTTTCATTGAAAGATGTCTCTGCAATTTCCTGTCGTCCGATCCTAAGAGTTTGCTGAGATGTATGCTACCTAAAATGTACAGCTCTGGTATGATAATTCATCTGAGAAATGCTGTCGAGATTTTAAAAAGCGTACCATCTTCTTTAAGTTCCCCAGTAAATAGAAATGGTCGGAGATATAGCCACCCTAGCGGAAGTACTGAGTTTAGGGTACCCTTTTACCAGTATGTCACAGGCACTTGTCAGTGGTTGGGTACTTTCGAGTACCTGATGTGTACTTTAGTACTTGACTTTAAGATGCTTCTGGAAGCTCAATAGACTAACTTGTGTTCTAGCATGCTAGAAACTGTACAAGTACCCGAGTACTGGGACAATTGTCAGCAGCGTACCCGACCAAGTACCTATGACATTCTGGTATTAAGCCGGGTACTTTTTTGGGTACCCTTCTACCAGTATGTCACAAAAACGGGTACCCTGAAATCAGTACTTCCACTAGGACAATCAAATTTTTTATTCATTCGTAAGAATGATCGTTTTATGCACATCATGACAAAGAACTCCCTTCTTAGTTGTTTTCAACTATTCACATTTGTCCGGTCTTCTTTTTCATGCATTAACTTTCTTTTATAAAGAAACATTTATACTGTTAATAGCACCCTTCAAAATGAGCCTTGCAATTTTCATTAGAGTCTGTTTTTGACCAATAGGAAAAAACTAGACTATAAAAGGGAAAACGCTTAGGAAAAATAATGGTGACATCAGTGACTATTTTGTACAATGATTCTATGCTGGGTTTGTTTAGGTAGCACTGTCTGTCGATCAGTTCTACTATGGTATAATTCGTAACTGCTATGTTAATATCCTTCCGTTTGTACAGATTTCTAAACCCATTGAAAAGCCTACTAGAATCATATAGAATAATGGCTGAAAGTAACAAAGAGGAAGCAGTGGTGAAGACTGATGAGATCGCTAAACGTCTGTCGGTGGCACAATTGAAAGAATCTTTCGAGTCTAAAAATACAAGTTCTTCAAGACCGATATCCATCGGTAGAGATGGTAATCGACAACAACAACAACAACACCTCTCAGCTAAGCAAACGGGCGCTGGTATCACCGAGCATTTTACAAAAGAACTTGAAGGTGTATTGAAATCACAGCCAACAAAAAATAATTGTTATATTCGTTCAGCCACTAATAAACTTTCGGACAACGATGATGTAAATAGACAAACTGAGTGTCTTTCCACTAAACCACAGGAAACTAGTAAAATGAATCAAAACAGCATCAAAGTAAAAGGTAGCAAATGCTCTGACATCTCCGAAGTCCGTCAGAGAGCAGAACATGTTGTAGAGCAACATGTTAATCAAATCAAAGCCAGCTACATTAAAGAAAAACTCGAATTCAGTATTATGATTTGTGGTTCACCACGCGTCGGCAAAAGTACACTTGTTAATACAATGTGCGGTCGACAAGTTGCACCGACAAGTGACAGCCTAGACGCATGTACCACCGAAGTAAAATGTTATTCATACGCAGACGACAGAGAAACGGAAACGGGTGTGAAACATTTCAAGATGAACATTTGGGACACACCGGGTATTGAAGAGTGGGAAAAAATTCAAAATACATTTGATAAAAATTTTTCAACAACAAATCCAATTTGTTTGATTTTCTGTACTGCACCGGGTGCATTTACAAAATTGGATCCACTCAACATTTTACTTGAGAAATGTAAAGAACGAAAGATTTTTGTTGCACTAGTTGTTACAAACATGTTTTCGAATAATCGACGCAACACTGCGCTACAGGAACTCAAAAATCTTCTAACTCCATACGGTGATGTGACGGAAAAAGTTGAAGGTACGGAGAAATATCCAGTTACATATTACGGTGAATTCGGTCTTTGTACAATGGTCAATTGTGAAGATTATGTTGATGACCGGTTAAAAGTCAACGAAAAACCACAAGGTGTCAATGAATTAATTTTTGGCATTATGCAATCACTATCGGATGAAAAATTATTGGGATGGTGTAATGCCGTTTTGGAAAATCGTACATATTGGGACACGATGAAACACGCCGTAAATACCTTTTTTAGCCGGAAGTATCCAGAATTTTCAAAATATCTACAAGAGAAGAAAAAGGATAGTGCATTCGATATAGCCTTTTTCCTCTTGGGTTGTCTCAAAAAACGTGTGTTTAACTGACTGACGCAACTAAGTATTTCAAACCAACCGTTTCTGCAAACAACCTGCGTTATATTATTGTACAATGGAAAACTAGGCTTTTAGAATAGCCCCGTTTCGTTCCTGTACCAAGAAGAAGAAATCAAATTTTCCCTTCTTTTTACGTTTACTAAAACCTTCATTTTTGGCAGAAAAAAAAGAAAACCAGATTTCTTCTCCGAAGAACAAGTTGTTCCTATAGAGATTAAGAAACTTAAAGGACAAGAATTTTGTTCTTCAGAAAACTGAAGATCCGTGTTCTGCAAATCTTTTGAGAATACATATATGATCTCTATAGGGGATAAATGTACATCACTTTTTTTGTTTTTTGAAGAACACAAATTTTTAACAGTGTAGAGCAAACTAGATCAGATTTTTCGTGACAATTGTTTTTTCACAGATGTTTACAATCCCGTCAGATGGTATAAAAATGTTACACGTGCGTTTCGTATAGCAGAACACAACTCGTTCGTCATTTACCTAAAATAGAGTTTTCTTTTTATTAATATACACGTATGCATGAATCAGTGTAAATTTGCTCTCGTTCATTCATCGAGGCTTTGGAAGTATTGATTACATGATCAAGAACCATTTCTCAGCTATTTAAATAGATGCAGCTGTCTAAAGCGACAATTTCCTAGATGTTCCTGTGTGCAATTTTTGCTAAAAATTTAAATTATTAGGTTATGGACTATGACCAACAAGATGTCAGTTTCAGTTTTTGAAAATGTTTGGGTCTCATTTGATTTTAGTTAACTACCATGACCGTTAGATAGCATTTATCTACCTTTGTTATCATTCATATGTAGTTTACTACTTCAGATTCGGCGAAAACGTAGTCTGTCGAGAAGCATCTAATGACTAACGAATATAGTATAACTGTTTGTGGTTCACCAAAAGTCGGCAAGAGCACGCTTATTAATGCAATGTGTCAACGAGATGTTGCAAAACAAGTGACAGCATTGATTCATGTACAACAAAAATACAACACTATACGTTGACAGGAGTACATCAGCCGACAGACAGTACAGCAGCCGTTAATTACAAAATCAATATTTGGGACACTTATGGCACTGAATCGTGGACAGAAGCCAATGTACGTCCTTTTTTCGCGGATATCATGAAAAAAACAAATCCTCTTTGTTTAATTTATTGTGCATCCCCTGGATCATTTTTAAAATTAGATCAACTGAGTTGGTTAATCGAAACATGTATGAAGTCAAAAATATTTGTCTGCTTGGTATGCACAAATAAATATGCCGGCAATCAAGCAGCTGTTGTTGCCGATTTCAAATCTATGCTGTCAAAATGCAGCAATGAAACGAGAGATGAAGATGGTATTATTTACTATGACGATGTGGCGTTGTGCACGACGGTTAACAACATTGAGTATGTTGATACATTTCTCAAGGTCAAGCAACCTAAAGAAGGTGTTAACGAATTAATTTATGGTATTATGGTATCGTTGAAGCCTGATCTATTAGTCGGTTGGTGTTATGCGATCGAGGGCAATGATTCATTTTGGAACTTAATGAAACAGAAACTAACCGTGGCTTTCGGAGAGTTCATTCGACAACATGGTACCGACATCGCAAAAAGCTTTTTGGATTTTGCATTAGCCTTTGTGAGACATAAATATTTGCCTGCAGCGGCTCCAAAATAGTCCATATTTTTAAAAACAGCTACTTTAAGATGTTTGTTTTACACTACATACTTCTCACGCCTATTGTCTCATTTTTCAATGTGAACCTTAATCACATACTAAAGACAGAAAACGACTGTTGTTCTTTTTCTGATAGTGCACGCTTTTTCGAGAAAGATAGAGGCTAGTTTGAAAAGTCTAAATGATGCAAGCGTTCTGCTTTTCCGAAAATATCTCTGTATATGATTGCGAGAATAAGATGACTTGATTAGGCGGAAATGTATAGTCTAGAAGCTCTATAGCAGCAAAACTCTCGTAAATATTGTTTCCAATGAGTTTGGCATACCATTACAGGAAACTTCAATGACGCTTCAACCAGTTTACAAGCCCATTTACACCTTCACATTATTTTGAGAAGAATTATTTGAGATAATTCTGTTACCATTTTACCGTTTGTCACACATTTTCTTTCGTTTCCCTCTTTAGAGGCTATTGGAATTTCCTTCCAGAAATGAGATATCAAGACAAATAATATATTTAAGACCATTTTAGAATAAGGCGACTTAGAGGACTATTGATTGCCAAACCATTCCAGAACAGAAACAGTGATGATGAATACTTCATCCAATGGTACACCAACTGAATTTAATATCCTTCTCTGTGGTTCTCCACGAGTCGGAAATGGCTCACTTATCAATGCTTTGTGTCAGACAGAAGTAGCAAAAACGAGCGAGAGTCTTGATACATGTACAAAAGGCGTACAGTGTTATACACTGAATGGACATTATGATTCACCACCTATTGAATTTCAAGTCAATCTTTGGGACACACCTGGCATTGAATCATGGCGTACCGGTTATATAAAAAAGACTTTCTGCAACTTTGTAACGCAGACTAATCCAATATGTCTTATCTATTGTGCGTCGCCTGGCTCATTTGCGAAATTAGAGGAAATAGCAGCTTTACTTGCATATTGTAAAGCACAAAAGATATTTTGTAAGCTTTCAGATTATCAATAAGACAAAACTTTTTCTTGTGTTCTTTATATTTTAGGTGCTTTGGTATTGACACACATGTATTTTAATAATAAGCGAGATGCAACGATGAAAATTTTCAAAGATTTATTAAGTCCATTCGGTGTAATGAAAGAGGAATATTATGGTCCTCACAAGCATAGGGTTATGTTTTTTGGTGATTTCGGCTTATGTACAATGGTTAACAGTAAACAATATCTTGACGAATGCCTCGGCGTCAGTGAACCACCAGAAGGTATTAACGAACTAATTTATGCCATCGCTATCAGTTTGAAGGAGGAACAATTGTTGGGTTGGTTTTATACTATTTCGAAAAATAGAGCATTTTGGATGACGATAGGACCAAAACTGACACAATTTATTCAAGATTCATTTGACAGAATGACAGCAAAAGTCGGAGATACTTATGATATTATCAATAAATTACTCCAAAGTCTAGGATTCGTTCTGTCATCTGGCGAAAATGCGATAACACATTCGATGAATGATGTTGCAACCAATAGTTTAACCAAGACAGACAGTGTGCAGCCAAACATGAATGCAAATGAGGCAGCAACGTGATACTATCTGACGGGATTGTAAACATCTGTGAAAAAACAATTGTCACGAAAAATCTGATCTAGTTTGCTCTACACTGTTAAAAATTTGTGTTCTTCAAAAAACAAAAAAAGTGATGTACATTTATCCCCTATAGAGATCATATATGTATTCTCAAAAGATTTGCAGAACACGGATCTTCAGTTTTCTGAAGAACAAAATTCTTGTCCTTTAAGTTTCTTAATCTCTATAGGGATAACTTGTTCTTCGGAGAACAGGGTTTTCCAAAAAACTGAAGAAAACGTTTTGTGCTCTCTGAAGAACAAAAAGCGATGAAGATCACATTCTCTGAAGAACAAAAGTGTTGTTCTTCGGATTTTTTATCTGAAACGGGTGGCCCAGAAGTCCTGTCTCATTCAGCATTTTCTTAAAATTTTGATCGAGGTTGATCGTCAAGTCTCAATCTTTTTTTAAAAAGCTCCTCATTCAGTTCTCTACGCGAAACATATTAAACATTTACAAGAATAAAAAAATATAGAGGAAATACGGGAAAGCTTCAATATCGATTACTTTAAAATCCAAACCGCAACCAAAAACTATTTATTCTGAACACGGTGCTATGCATCAAAGTGGAATCGAAATGTATTTTCTGGTGCTCCAGAATGTCAGGTTTCTTTTCTTGTCTCACAAGTTCGCTACAAACCTTTTTTTCTGCCAAGAACGAAGATTTTAGTAAACGTAAAAAGAAGGGAAAATTTGATTTCTTCGTCTTGGTACAGGAAATGAAACGGGGCTATTCGACAAAATATAAGGGACCGGAATTGAAACACCTGTTTGTTCGGTTTGAAAGTAATCGATATTGAAGCTTTATTTCCTCTATACTTTTTTGTTCTTAAATATAAAGAAATGTTCGATATGTTTTGTATAGAGAACTATATCAGGTTTTCTCTAAAACAAAGATTGAGACTTAGCGATCAACCTTGTCCGAGATATTGAGAAAACACTGAATGAGACAAGACCTCTAGGCCACCCTTTATAGGGAACAAATTGTTCTCTGAAGAACTCCTTTTAAGAACTGTCAAAACGTTTTTTGCACGTTGTGACCTGAGTAGTAGAGGTGAGCGGTGGACTATCTTTGGCTTCCTCGCAGACTGCCTGCCTGGTCATCACCCCGTACCTCGTCAGGTTTCGAGAGATCTATTAGCGAGGATCGCCCCGTAAACTTTCTGCCCCGTCATCGCTTCGTCCATCGTCAACTACTGATAAAATTATATATGTACAAGGCACGTAATAGGCGTGTTGCATGAGAATGTAGTTCTAGACAAACTTCTTGCTGCCCTGATCAAATTTAATGCCATCTGATGCTTGAGGGTTTCAAACTATCCTCTTCCTTTTGGCTCATTGTTAAAACCCCTCGAAGTAGATTTCTAGAAAATCGTGGTTTTTCACCTACAAGGGTCGAATACATAACTTTTAAAAAAATGGGCGTCAAAAACAAATGTTGAGTGAGATATTCGTATTTAGCCGTGACACGACTATTTCGCGAATCGACTCTTCCGCAAATTTTTCTTAAAACAAACTTAGGTATTTCTGGCGGTGGGGAGGGGGGTTGCGGGCAGTGTGAGAGTGAGTTCGAAAAGTAGTTTCACATAAAAGATATTTGCTATCAGATAATGTTTCTCTTTTCTGGTTCTTATCTGGTATGTTAGTATTTTAGCTGAAAGCAATTTTTAAATCTTTTTAGCGACTACGTCCAGTAAAACCCTATTAGGAAACCCGGCTACCGAATAGGAAATTATTCAATAATAATTTCGATCCAGTTTTTATTAGAGATTATGAATTAGATATTAGTTTTTCTTGTGCCCAATGAAAAAGTAAAGAAAAAGCGAAACGAATACCTTATTAGCTGTTCGTGGAAGAGTCAGTTTGCGGAATAGTCGGGATCCTGTTCGCCGATGAGTCGGTCGAACATTATGAAAAGAAATTGATTCTCCAACTCAGAATTTAAATTTTTGATTTAATTATTAAATTTTAAATTTTCAACGTTTTTTGAAACTCAGATATTTGAGAGCAGGTAAGTGATGAAGTTCTCGGCCTAACGCCATTCGAAAGAGGATTCAAAATTGAAGATATGTAGCGGTTTGCGAAGCTCCGAGTTGAAAGTTAGTATGGTAAGGTTTTCTCAGAGCCCTTCCACATTCTTTAAATATTAACAAACTTTATTATAATAAAAAAAAATACTCACCTCGTAGCGCATCTATACCCGTATGTGAAGGATGCATGGCTATGTATGAGTTTCATCCTCTTGTATGATATTATATCTACACATATATATATATATATACAGCAATATACTCCCTAGGCGGCATATGGAGTATATTGGCCTACGTAGCCTGAGCCTAATCTCTAGACTGGCTAAATAGACCCCTACATTATTTTCGTGAAAATTCTGTCGCTCGGTCGGAATGGGAAAACTACATCCTCTGATATTAAGAATTGAATATTTGCGTGGAATCTACTTTTCTCAAGCAGTAGTCTTTTGTAATAGAGCAGATTTTTCATCAGAACAGTGCAGATTAATTCATTCGTCCATGTTTATAAATTCCTCTGGAAGCATATCAGCATAGTGGAATGTTTAGCAGAATCGAACAAAGCCTTTTATCGCAGAAGACCCTTACATGGCTAGTGTTAGAATCCGTCAAATTATTTTGAAGCATCTAGTCAGGTAGCTTGGTTATTAAGTTGAAATTGGCCACTCCATAACGGGTGTAAATTATGTAAAAATTTTCAGACAAAATATACCAGGTGTAAAAAACTAGGTGTTTTTGCTGAAGCATGAAGCAATGCTGCAACAAGGTATCCAAATAAAAGACTAAAAAACTGACTTATCTAGATGCATCGGGTTTAAGTCAATGTTACTCGGCACAAATATCGATGCATTGAGAAGCCAGAACATAGACAAGCAACTCATTGTTTCTGTCGATGCATCGTCCTATTTCTGCAAGAACATTGGGCGATGCAGAGATCAAGAAAAGACGATCATTATGATTCAACGTTAAGGGATCGAGTGAATCGAACACGAGCGTTAGTTGTCCAGTAACTGAATAAATAAATTGTGTAAACTGTATAAAGTTGTAAATAAATTTTATCCAGATGCATATTTGACAAAAGATTAATAAATTAAATATCAGATTATACTCATTCCGATATTGAATGTAAAAGATTTGAACTCCTTAGACTTCAAATGGACTTGATAAAAAAGTCCCCAAGTCCAAGTCAATTAAAAAGACCTTCAAGTCCGGACTCAGACTTGCGCACTTCTGGTTGGAGAGCGGTTGTATGTAGGGGTGCTACTTTACTTTTACTCAGGGAGGTATCTATTTATTTGTAAGTATTTCTCGAAGTAAAAAATCTGATTAAAATTCTTTCGTTGTCGTTTCACTTTTTAAGACATTAATGAATGAATTTTCAACAAATTTATCGGTGCTTGTATTGGGTTTTTTGAGTTTGTTGTCATCACTTATATTTACGGTATTTGCTAATTAAATAAATCTTGTTGTTTTATTACTTATTACTTCTTTATGTAAGAATTTTTCATCATTTTACTTATTACTTTTTATTACTTTTCATCTTATTAGTAATAAGTAAAGTAATAAAAGATTATTACTTGAAAAAAGTAATAAGTAATAAAGTAATAAGATTTATTACTTGTTTCCAGGTAATAACTAATACATTTTATTACTTATCATTTGGTAAAGAACAGTAAAGTGACACCTCTAGTTGTATGAGGATCTTTTTTTTGTTTACGTTCAGGTATATTTTGGTACTCAACACGCTCGAATGTATATGATAATCAATTTAATTGGTATCAGTTATGGAACGAAAATGTCATGTTTGATTTGAAAAGATGCTATTGTTTGACTGAGAAGGTTAATAGCATCTCGATGTTAAATTGCCGAAGATTTTTATTTATCGTATGAAATAGCGATACAGTAAGTTTGCCAGATTGAATAAATTACTCAACTTCTTTATATTCGATGTATATGCGTTATTTCTAAAGCATTCTGTTTTGATCAATATTTCTTTGTTTCTTTTTTTTTAAGTCTTTCTTAAATAATTATTTTTTCGAAATAGCTATTGCCACCATTAGAAGGTGATACTGACGTTTATTGTCACCTTCTGAAAGCGGCGATAACTTCTTAGTGGCATGTCTGAAGGTGATAATAGCTCCTTGTGGACACCTTGGGAGGTGACACACATAGTTTTTTCCAAGTTCAATGACTGCCCAAATAACTGATCTATCCTCAAACATTGATCAAAAATACAACCTATTAATTTATCAGTTTTAGTTTTCTCAAGAGTAAGAATGCTACCCTGGAAATTTATAATGAATTTCTGTTATTTATTGTCCATGAAACAGTTTTTTCTTCAATTAACTCCGATTTGTGGTTAATAAGCATGAGACCACCTTTTTGCTTTTAGAGGTTAACAAATGCTTGTAGCACCCGCATCCCTTCTCCAGAGTGGTGTTGAATATATTATTGGAACATGGATGATTTATATAAATCCTGTTCGGAATACACAGCATTCTTCTAGGATAATCAGCTCTTTATTCGATATAGTATTTACACAAAATATATTCTAACAGTTGAGAGTTCTCTGTATCATTAATTGGAGCTAACTGAGGAGCCACTTACTTTGTCTAAGAAAGCTAAAACTTCAGCTGTTATCTCATTGTAGAAAACTCTCTCGCTTGAAGCATTTATGGAAAGCTTTAGATTATCATTCCACATCCTCACGATTTTATTTGATCATCACCTGAATGAAGAGACATTCAAAACAATAATTCTGTTTTGAATGTTATTCCTAAGCATGTACCAATACCAATCATTATTGAAGATAGTGTACAATATTATTGGCTATCCAATGATATTAGGTCCCAATATTATTGCATACCACCCAATGTCACCCAATATATTGGGTAATACTGAGTTCCCTAATACACTGAATTCCAACTTGTTGACAGTAATACCATTTACCTTCATAAAAACTTGAGGAAATCGGGATTAAGCATGCATCGATTCATAGTCGATGCATTCTGCAAAAGTCGATACATTCTGCAAAAGTCGATGCATTCTGCAAAGTCGTTCCGAATCAGCTACGAAAAGCACTTAGAGCTGCCGAATGTTCCATTTTGTAGAAAAATGTTTGCTCTACCAAACTGAAGTGCAAAAGACATTTTAGTGTTATCTGTGAAAGAAATGTAAGCATTCAAAACTGAGCAAGAAAGAAGCGACTATCGATTATTTTTCTACGACTTTAGTCCATTTTCGACTTGTTATATTTTCTCCATATATAACATCAAAATTTTGGTAGCACTTCAGTTTGGTAGAGCAAACATTTTCCCATAAAATGAGACATTCAGCAGCTCCAGGTGCTGTTTTATAACTGATTGGTACTCCCAGAATAAGAATGCAGATTTTTCTTTATGACTACGTATTTGCTGCTTCTCTGTTGACATTTCATGACCGGACACGGTGCACCAAGGCAACTTGACCGAACTTTTATTTTCTTGTGTAATTCTAGAATAGATCCTTATAACAATAGTTATCAACCACCGGGGTGGACATCAGGAGGGAGCAACATGAAAAGCACTGATTTTATCGTTTTACATTTTTTGTAAGCTATCAGGAATTCAAAGTACCAACACTTTTTATTTTCGGCTTAAAGGTACATCATGAGATGCAGTTTTATCTGATGATCAAGAATCGGACCTGACTTTTTCGATTTGAGGAGTTATCTTCTCATAAGTTTACTCTCCAATCTCACCAATGTGATTTTCAGATTCTTCGACTCAAACTGAGTCTACACATATGGTCTAGAGAATTAAATTAGTTTCTTATTTCTGCAGCTTTGGGGGGGGGGGGGGACAATGAACATTTAGGACTTTCTTGTAAGTTCTATAACTTTGCAAAGATCATGTAGAGCTGAGAGATGTGTCACTTTAATCAGAAATGTACGGGCTACAATTATGCTTGATTAAGAGAGGTATTGGTTATCTTTTAGAGAAAAAAGCTAGATAGGGTTGCAAAATTAGGTCGCACCAATGGAGGACCATCGATTTGTAAATTTCCACAGCTTATATGATACGCAAGATCAAGCTCTAGACCACACGTCTATACTCAATTTGAGTCGGGAAATCCGAAAATTACATTGGTGAGATCGGAAAGTAAAATTATGAGAAGATAATAACGATTTTCTCAAAAGTCAGCTTTTAGCGTTTTTAAGAAGTTGGCAGTATTTTGCATTTTTCACCGGGAAAAGTCGCTCAAATCGAAAAAATCAGTAAATTGAAATTTTAAATTCAAAAGTTAATTACCTCCGTCCAAATTCCATAGAAAAGAAAGTCGTTTTTACCAATCAAGAGTTGGTGAAGTCTCTAAGGTTGGAAACAAAATCCGGTTCTGATATGACGCTTCATTATTTTTGTATATCGATTTTATCAATGTCCACGGATGTGGACAGCCAGGGTAAAGGTTAAGGACATTGCAGTTTGCTTCCTATTAGAGCTTCATAGTTTAACAATTTTGTCATTATCTAATTCATCCTCACTGGAAAAACAATATTGTTCTTATCATTTTTTTTGTTAATGATCGGCATCACAAAAATGATGGCTGACTTTTATATCGTATTAGTTACTATATATACTAAAGTCCCACCGACTTGTTATTAGTGCAAACGATGGTCAATTTTCTGTTCTGCAAATAACGTTATTCATACGTTATTGTTTAGTTTCTATTTAGCAACAAAACTAAAAATGCTTATTGACGAAATTGTAGGCCAACGTACTATGTCCTTTGCGAGCAATTTTCATCACAGCAATAGTCCAGAAACCACTGAACATTTTCATCCATATTCTGTTCACTTGATTTGTATTTCTCTCGTTACAAAACGTTTGAATATCGTCAAAAAACAAGTTTTCTTTCTTCTTGGTGGTTTCACTTCTTATTGTAATTTTTTATCTTTAGAAATGTGTATTTCAATCAACTTATCTCTTTTGTTTAATGAGCGCAGTGATGACGACTGGTCTGGTCTCTTTAACTTTTATTTTAGGGGCCGACTTGGTTTGACCTTAGTACACTGCTGCGGTGGGAGACCTCTCTAAGTAGAGTAGGCCAACCTGCCCGATCAGTTGTCTCCCAAATGCACCGAACGTATAACAACGCTAGGGCATTGTATAACATCGATATGGGCAGCCAAGTTAGTTTTTCGGTAGCCTAAGCTTCTTCTACTGCTCAATTTTCCTCATTTTCATAGTTAGATCCCTTCTTGTGAGATTAAGGTTGATTTTTGTGCATGATTCAAAGCAGAAATTTGATTTAAGAGGAGAAAGAGAAAAACATTTGAAAAGTTTAATTGGCAAAAATGTTAATAGTAATTTGAAAAATTCAAGCATTAGATGAAATGGTCCATTTGTTTTCGAAAGGAGCTTAATCATCCTTAAGGTGGTTTCCATCGTTTTCAGAAGTGTCTTCAGCGATAGTTTTATGATCATTAGAGTTTTCTATTTGACTTAAACAAAAATTTAAGGCTTTTTGAATTTTCGTTACATAGAAATCCTTGGCAAGCTTTTAAGATATGCCTAAGATAAGAAAGAGAAAACATTCGAAGAGTTTAATCGGCAAAAGTGTTACGAGTATTTTGGAAATAACGGACTAGTAGATTATTCCTAGGATGAAAGGAAAAATGTTATACATGTATCATCTGGTCACACAGCCACGAAGGGATAAAAAACTAACTTTTATCGGTTACTTAGCCACGTGGCCAACGAAAAATGTGTTTTTGTGCAGAAGAAATTTTGACCACGTGATACATATATAACGTTTTTCTTTCCATTCTTTGAATAATGGGCTAGTTCAATATTTGAGCATCATAGTTAGATCCCTTCTTGTGAAATTAAGGTCGATTTTGGTGCATCATTCAAAGCAGAAATTTCATTTAAGAGAAGAAAGAGAAAACATTCGAAGAGCTTAACCGAAGAAAGCATCCATCATGTTTTAAAAGTAGCGTCGGATTAAAGAAAATATTCGCAAATCGCTCAGTCATATTGTGGAGCTAGCTTACAGAAAAGTCTTGAGGGATTATATTGTCTTTGAGATGACTGAAACTCTCTCAAATCGAAAGGTTTGGTGAGTATTTTGCGCTCTTTCTGATGGTTTTTGTTCGAAAATTTTATAGCTGATCTGTACTAAGATAGCCGAATTTTAAAAGAACTTAAATTTTAAGAGTTTAAAATTTAATTCCAAAATCAGTGTTAAGATTTTGGAAATTTTTCTTTTCAAAATGTTCCCTCGCAGGGTGCCGGACACGGATATGTTTTATAAAAATTCCAGTTCTTGAGCGTTCTTAAACATGAAAAATTGTGGGTGTACTTTTTCATGTAGCGCCGAAAAGTAATTCGAAAACTGTCGCGTATTATTTCTGCATTTTTCAGACGTGCAAGAGAGTTAGATTTTTTTCCTTGGAAAAAGCAAAGCCTGAACTTGAAAAATCATGAGAAAAAAAATTTTTAGAACTGAGTTTGAGTGAGAAAAAATTTAAACACCGAACATCAGCAGAAAAAATCTTACAAGGTACTTTTTTCCTTAGGTTTATTACTAGAGCATGCAGAAAAAGTTGCTTGGAAAATCAAATAGATGAGAATGTAACCTGTGCAAGACTCTATTACTCTCTTTACATCAAAAACTTTTTTAGCGATTCCTTAACAGTGATAGATAACGCGGTTTTAATACTCAGTTTTCGTAGAAATCATTTCTTTGCATGAGAAAGATAGAATATCGACAAAATTTCGTTATTCAGGGTGCAAAATAAGTTATTAAGAATTTAAAACTGATATGAATTTGTAGAGAATTGAACGCTGTTTCGGAAAGTGCGTTTTGGCAAATGAAGAAATCCGTTCAGTGTCTGAAAAGTATGCTGCTTTTTCGAAACTAATCAAAAGTTTAACAATTTCTGGTTGAAAAGCGCATCAGAAATTAATTTATCATACCCCCCTCGAAAGAGTCATAAAAACACTTCTAGTTTCGGTGACTATCTAATTACAAACGCATTCTGTTATAGGAAAGAAATACGTTTGATGAAGATGGAGGATGGAGGTTACAAGAGCTTTTCTGACGATGTTTGGTAATTTAAATTTTTAAATGACATAGCATATACTAACTTTATCGTGCAAGACGCCTATTGTCTTTCACAGAGCATGTTCATCTTCAAGGGAGTTTCCACTGGATGGAAGTTACAAGAACTTTCCTGACGATGATGGAAGGAAAAATGTTATACATGTATCATCTGGTCACACAGCCACGAAGGGATAAAAAACTAACTTTTATCGGTTACTTAGCCACGTGGCCAATGAAAAATGTGTTTTTTGTGCAGAAGAAATTTTGACCACGTGATACATGCATAGGGTTTTTCCTTCCATTCTTTGAATAATGGGCTGGCCCATTATTTTTGTATTATAGTTAGATCCCCTCTTGTGAAGTTGAGGTCGATTTTTTTGCGCAAGATAAGCCGGAGAAGTTCGATTTATGGAGAGAAAGAGGAAACAATCTAAGAGCTTAGCCGAAGTAATCACCCATCGCGTTTTAGAACTAGTTTCCACTACTTCCATAAAAAGGTCTTGAGTAGTTCTTTTATTCTGCTTACAGTTTTATCTTTAATTTAAAGGAGAATTTAAGAGGTTTTGAGTTTTTGTTACGAAGAAATCGTTAGCGGGCTTTGGCATATGATAGCGTCAGTGTATGACTCGGATTTTAAGGCTATTACCAGATAATCACAAATTCTACTTCAAGTATCACCCAGAGCTGCAGAACATCTCGTTTAGATCCAAAACATTTTACCTTTTACCGCCTAAAACATTTTCTACTTCTTAGGGTTTATTAGAATAAGCCATTTTGAAATAAATGAGTTTTTGAGGACTTTTGGAAATTTTTAGATCAGTCATGTATTGGGATAGTACACCTTCTATTGATTTGTGTGAAATGCATGATGAGTTATTACCAGATACGGCTTATATGGTTGACAGCGATCAGCGCGTTTTAAATATCAATTTCGCAGAGATGGGTACGTATCTGTAATTGCTCATTGTTTAAATGATGACTTGCGTGTTTCGTGTTCAATATAGATGACAGAAAAACACCATCGTGCCCGAATTGCTTAAGTGATTGTGACCATATGGACGTAGATTATTCGAGCCTTTTCGACGAGCACGTGTTGCCTTTGTGCCAGTTAGTTATGTTATCGGGTATGTCCAATATGTTAGAAATTTATTTTGTGATTTGTTTTTCGAGTTTTGTATTATAGAATATAACTATCTGTTAGGTAACGAATATAAACCCGTAGCAGAAGAAGATTTGAATATTGGTCCAGAGATTACTGGAAGTTTCGAAAGGAACGATGCTCAAGATGGTATTTCATCAGATCTTTTGCCAACATGCCGTTTACTCTGACTGTTGACGACAGATGTGGTTGATAGAATGATATTAGAAGAAGAGACAACAGCTGATGCTGATATTGTTTCGATGCAAGATGGTAAATTCACTCGCTTATCTTTATTCGCTGTTTGTATGCTATGATTCTGTTCAGATGATGATATACTTTTTATGGGGGAACAAGACGATGCTGAAGAAGGTTTGTTGGTATGCCTTAACACAATGTGTTCTTAAAGTTTTTCTCGATTAGATAATGACATAATGATTGCAGAAACAAAATGTGCTGATGCAGAGGGTAAGTGGCTATTTATCGTTTAGTTGTTTTCTCATATGCTTCTATCGTTTAGATGATGACGTTGTATTCATTGAATGGAAGTGTACCAGCGGCGATGATGATGATGTCATTTTTCTGGAATACAAACAATTAGTAATTTGACAAAGTGCAAAATTTACTAGGCTTCTACATGAATATTTTGGAGGATACGATGAACCTGAAGTGCAGTTAAACGTCTTTAATTCACAAAGGAAACTCTTTACAAGTAAGAAATGACAAGAAAAAATATCACAAAATGTTCCGAAATTAAAATCTATATGTCAAAATCTAATAAAGGATGAATTATTTGTATTAATGATTATTAAATAAGCTTGAACGCTATAAAATGGATGCCGTGCATATAACGAAATAGCGTATTCACAGAATAAAATAACTCATCATGTTTTAATGCCATACGTAGAAAAGAAACCAGGTTTTCTTGTTGCAGCACTGTGTACCTCTGGGTCAAATACTTTAACAATGGTAATTGGAGGAGAATATAAATGTAGACTAATCGCATCTTCGCCATCTGTATGCATTGAATGCAGACCTATTTTGTCTGATGCATATGCTACTTGTCCAACGTCTATTGTTTTCTGTTTCTCTATTGGAAAATGAAAAGAAATTAATCTTTAGTAATTATTGTTAAACAGAAAAAGTAAAAATATAAATACCAAGATGAAAATCTGGACAAACACCATCTGCAGTAGCAGGTTCTTCATCTTCGGTTACGATACGTCCGTCAGGTGTAATATAATTATACAATCGTTCAATTAATTTTCCTTGAACTATTCCCATCCAACAGTGAGAACCAGCATGATTATGAATACGACTATATTGACCTTTTTGCCAGCATATAATCTAATTTGTAAAAAAAGCAGTACTTTGTAAAAGAAATGGTTGGCTCTGCCGAACTTTTCAGGGTGTGTATTTTTGGAAAGAATTCGAAACCGTTGCAAAAAAACGTTTCATGGTAAACTCGTACTTTATTTTATTCAGAAAAAAGGTTCGATGGCCTTCGTTTACCAGGACCTTTTCTTTTAATATTTTCGACACTGAAACATCGGTTCAAGCGTCCATTCTAGGCTCAAAATGAAGAGACTTTCCTGCTGTACAACACACATACTGTGGTATTTACATAGTATTCGTTAACTAAAATAATAACAAACAACTAAGAAAGAAAAATGTAGTGCTCTTAGAAAGAAAACTTGTTTTTTGACGATATTCAAACGTTTTATAACGAGAGAAATACAAATCAAGTGAACAGAAGAATTTATTTTAAGTATCGAATGGACATAGTGAACACTGAATAGCTCCACTTCAGTAGTCGTCTCTCATAGATCTTCAAAAAAATACCTTTCGAGGGTAAAGGGTTAAGTAGTAGGATAGATCAAATACAAGAAAAATTAAAGTCGATTCTTTTCTATGTCTACTTTAATCTTTACTTGGCTTCCTTGTTTGTTATCTTTTTAGAAAATAAAATACTACGTAAATACCAAAGTTATTGTGTGTTGTACAGCAGGAAATTCTGTCTTTTGAACCTTGAACGGACGCTTGAATCTATGGTTCAGTGGCCAAAATATTCAAAAACAAATCCATTTTGTCTGTTATACTCGTTGGAAAAAAAGAAACTAAAAAGCGGGCATGCTAAAGGCTATAGACAATAACAATACAAGCGAACAGCTGTATCGTTGTTGTCAGTGGAAAACAAAATGAATATTCTGAAACAAACTCTAAATAAGTTTTGTATTTACCGGCGAAACTTTCTTGCATTTCTGCCTGGTTTTGTATGTTCAACACAAAATAGGGATGCAACGATAACGGTTGACAACTGGTCAACCGTTACCGGTCTAACCGGTTTAACGGTCACCGGTTCTGACCGGTTACCGTTATCGGTCTAACCGGTTCTGACCGGTTACCGTTACCAGTCTAACCGGTTCTGACCAATTACCGTTACCGGTCCAACCGGTTCTGACCGATTACGGTTATGGATCTAACCGGCTAACTAACTGAATAGAGTGTCATTATATACACGTGATGTATACATACAAACGTGATATATAGATGAAACAAAGAAAAGCAGGTCAGCATATATCTTATCTGTATGGAGCCTATAACGGGAATAAGAAACAAAGTAGAAAAGAAAAGAAAATCGCTATTTGTGTCGCAGCTCTAATAGTCCATCTATTTTCTCTCTTGCTCGTGCTAGATATAATCTATTTTTAAACAAGCATTCACATGTGAGTTCTTAAGCTAGTTTGAGTTACACTGATTGTTCCATGTTAAAAAGTGTTTTTCTTCAAGGTTATATTGATTAACAGAGAACTGTGATTAAAGAAACATTTATTTTGTGTTTTGAATTATGTAGCAAATATTCCATTTGTTTTTCAAGTTTATTGCTACTGGTAACGGTAACCGGTAAGAACCGGTTGGACCGGTAACGGTAACAGGTAAGATGCGGTTACCGTTACCGTTGCATCCCTAACACAAAACTTTTTTAACTATAAACTGCAGAAATGGCCCACGAAACCGCTGAAGTATCGTATGGCATCAGTTTCTTTAGGGAATAACTCTAATCTTTTTTTTCATGTTCTTTTTCGCTTACCATAAGTTCAAAATCATCCGTCATTTCAACTAGATTTCTAGTATAATGAGTATCACTAAAATTTACATATTTTTTCCAGTCTGTGTAACCTTGTTTAACATATGATTGTAGTAATAATTTAATTTTCATAGTTCTCTCTTCACTTTCTTTTTGTTCTGTAAATATCTTTTTTAAACTTTCTATTAATAATTCAATTGGTGCAGGTGCCATAATATCTTCTTTCTAATATGACAAATTTTACAATAAAATGGAGAAGAAGTTCGAAAAACCAAACAAATGTTAATTTTTTATTCTGTGTATATTGAAAAAACAATATATACTTAATATATACTTTAACCACAGTTCCTTTTGATCGCTGTGATAAACGTAAAAAAATTACTACTTTTTATCTAAAAATATTACAACCTACCTTTTTCTTTTTATACGCAATACAGGTAGGACGAAGGATTACTATGACTGCATTAACTTGAAAGGATCCTACGCATGCAGTGGTGCGAAACCTTTTTGCATTTTTCTTACGTTGTACAATTTCTGGTGTAATGTAGCAAAAATAAATGTAAATTTGTTTTTCACAATATTTTTTTCTTTTCGTCAATGCACACTATACTAAAATGTAAACAAAAACGACTTTTTCTATAGCAAAAGATAGAAGGACAGAGCAAAATCGTGCATCTCGGAAATGAATAATCAAGGAGAAAGAAAATGAATGATCCAAGAATCGAAAAACACGTAGGCACACACCAAACCAAAATATTTGGGTTTAATTAAACAAACGATGGATGTCGGAAAGGAGCTGTTACAACTTCTACAAAAAAGTTTGTAAAAACACGTTTTCTTGCTGTGTGATCAAAAATAACCCCTAGAAGAAAAGGACAAATTTTTATTTTGGGAGGTGTGTACTCCTTCCCACACACCCCTGCAACTTACGGCCGTGATTTCACCTCTAAAATGGGTGAAAATATGAATATAACTAAAAAGGGATGAAAAATGTTTGAATTTTCATTCATATCTCTGGATAATTTGGATAGAATGAAAAGTTGCTAAAAAAATGAAATGAAAATTAAAAATATTTATTCTAACACATATCCATTGTAATAGGTAGAAGAATAGCTTTTAAAACTTCGGTCAATTATCTGATAAAGAGCTTGAGCAAATGAAAATTTTAGTTAGTAGAAGATCATGTGTACGGATATTATGCGAAGATGAGAATTTTTAGATCTGACGAACATTTTTATGAATCTTCAATATTTGCCTACTTTTGTACTATATCAGCAGCTATATATTGTTTAAATCTAACAAGCAGCCTTGACCTGATATGTTTTATTTTATCATTGTCATCAGGCTGAAGATATTCTTTAATTGATCATAGTACAAAGAATGTAAATCCAATTGTTGGATAATAAGTTCCACTAATCAGTTTTGTAGTAGCATAAAATGATTTTTCTTCAGAATTGTATTAAGAGTGAATAAATCACTGGACATTTCGAATAACAATAATTTCTTTCGTTGTCACATCGACTTTTATTTTAGATGAGAATAATTCATTCAAAATATTTTTATACGACTTAAACGTTCAAGGTTTGAGTTAAGAGAGTATGTTGAATTCCAGCTTGATCGAACATCTACAGTCAAACTACAATTTATTTTTATTTTATTCGTTTCATTCTGTTGCAGGCGTTTTCTTAACAAATGATATTAATATCGGTGAATGTGTAACCATTTTGATTATTTCTTGATAAATTTCTATTGTTTCATCTATTTTACACTCATATTTTCCAATTGTTTCATCTTCAGCATCAGAAATAAGACCTTTCACAAAATTACCTTGAATATCTTTAGATGTGTGTATATTCTGTTGCTCCGAATGATTTGACCTCGTCTTTCCAGATAAACAATCAAATACTTTTAACCATATATATTGACGTCAAATAGCAATAGACTATCGTAACATGTTTTCGAAATTTCAGCTATTTCAGATAGAAGTAGAATGGCTAAAACCTTATTAAGATGGAAGACTTCTCCACGATTCTTTCTTAAAAGTGGAATAAAGATGAAGTCAACGTATCTGTTCATTTTCTTCGTCACTACTTTCGTTTCATTGCGATAGTACATTTGAATCAGTAGACATACCCCTCTCCTCCCCAGAATAAAGGCGATGGCCTTCTATTATGCTTTCGCACATCGCACTTTTTTTCGTGAACAACTGCCCTATTTTTTTAGTTTTTCAAAAATTTCCGCTCCGAACTGGCCTTCTATTTTTTGGGGAGGGAGGCTTACTATGAACAATTTGATTCAATTGTAGTTTATCAACATCGGTATCTTCACTTTTCTATTTCATCATTTTCTGTTGTCGCCTTTTGTTTCACTCAAACATCAAGGGCGTTATATACAATCAAGCAGAGTTTGTGCGCTCAGTATTAATCACTCTGAATATATTTTCGAGTAACATAAATGCAGCTTTCATACTCGAAGCTCCATCTCATGTAATGGTTGTTATTTTATCCAAGATGTTTATTTTAGGCAATTATTCATTAATTTCAACTACAATTCAGAGAGAAACTGACAAGTTTTAAATGTAATAAAAGCAATAAATTCCATTAGTTTTTAATACAAATTCAATTCTTAACTCCAATCAGTATGTTCATCGTGCAAACGTTTTAATTTTCTTTGACCGAAAACTGTCATTTTCCAATATGTCAATCTCTTAATGAGAAAATAGTTAACATAAAATGTGATGCTTTATAAGCTCGTTTTTTCTTTCTATTTATCTGTATTCTTTAATAATCAATGGCCATATCTGATCACTTTTCTTGACAAAATCTAATCAAAAACCTCATTATGCATTAAGTACATGACAATTATTTGTGTTTTATTAATTGCATATGAACGACCTTGCAGATAAATCTTCAAGGTTAGAATACGAGCACAGATTATATAGTCATTTGAAACTGATGTTACATTACAGGCATAGATACAAATTTATTTTTTTCTGGATAATGTTTTTGGTTAATCAAGATCATAAAATCAGTGAATACTATTTCTTCATATATGAAATATTATTCACGCAGGCTATGATAAAAACATATGAAAAGAAAGAAGAAGACGTACGTGAGCGATTTGCGCTGCCATTGTACCGTTCATATCCGACATGTAAAAAAGCTATAACTTTTTTGTTAGTGAATGAATCTTAGCGAAATTTTTATATGTTATTTATCTAAACTATGCTCACTACCACTGAAAAAAGCAGCTCAAAGTTGCAAGTGGTTATTGAGTTATTAGCGACTCAATATGAAAAACCATGATTTTAGCTGACACCTAGCGACAATAAAATCAATTTTTTATTTAAATAAAATAACATCTCAACTTGCTCTTTGCAAATAAATTGTAGTAAACACATGCTACTTTTAAAACATGTGAATGAGTTCCAAATTCATACACCGTTTCTAGGTAAA